CCCCCTCCCCACTGGGCCAGGGCAGGCCGGGCTGTGCCGCTGCTGCTGAGGGGGCTGGGGCCAGGGCCAGGGCGGGCCGGGCTGCGTAGCCTCACTGCTGGGCCCGGGCAGGCTGGGCTGCGCCACCTCCCCATATATACGCCGCCACGGGGAAAACGTGGGTGCACGGACTTATTTACAAAAATACGATTTTCTGCGGGTTATACGTGGGTGCGGCTTATACCCGTGGGCGGGATATATGTGTGAAAATGCGGTAATATGATTTTCTGCCATGTTGCTCCTAAGTAGGGTGAGACAGTTTACCTGCGAAGCCCAGAGTACTGACAGAGATAGTGGAGCTCTGATACGGCATATTTAAGGAGCTGGCAGTGGTTTGACTGTCTCATGCACTGATTCTAAGGTCTAGGATGGTTGGATGCCAGCATCCTATGTCTCAATGGAGGGCATGAGACAAGAAATCTATGCCTGGGAATGTGTCCTAGAGAATTAGAGCTAAGAAAAGTGACTAGATTCTGGTCAGACCAATTAGCTTAAAAATACATGGGACCCAGTATTTGAACCAGCATGCAGACTGATACTCCCACAGGTATGGGATTGGGCCATAACATCACACATCTCTTCCTCCCTCCAACTCAGAAGCTAAAATTTGGAACCTAATCCAGATTTAAAGAATATTATGAGTAGCTACCATACAATACAAAATTATAGGCAGAAAAGGAAACATTAGTAATGAAATCAATTACAAAATGTCTACAATTACATTACTCAGAAAGACAGCTTTGGCAATAGGGCTAGAAATACACTGTGCTTTTAAAAATGTGTGCAATTATAAACTGAAGTGGGTTTAAATTACTTAACCATTTTTTTGTGGAAAATCGACCTTCACAAGTCTTCATTACTATATCATACATAATTACAGGACATAGAGAAAATAGAAACAGAAACTCACAAATTTATGTTGTCAAGTAGGGAGATAGATTTCCTTGAATGTGGCATAATAAGCCAACAAAATATTGACAGTCTCAGATAGTCTTTTGTAAGTCTAAAAAATGGAAATCTTATGACCATTTTAGTAAAATATACAATATGATATGTTAGATATTGTGAGGGTTACATTCTCATAATCTATTCCAGAATTCTGTAATGGAAAACAAAACACTGACACTTTAACATTCAGCCATTCCCATCAGCATGCTAGCACATTTAGACTGCGCAGCTAACACATACCGTAACTTATCTGCTATAGAGTTCCTTCTTCACGCAGGATTTGAAAGTGGTATACCTCTGTACAGTTTTGTAGCCCTGTGGAGCAGAAGATGGAGAAGTGCGCAGATGCAGACAACATGTGAAGGCAGCCATAGGTAAGCGTGAGACAACAGTTTCATGAAAATACAAAAGAATGTGATTAAATGACAAATAGATAGAAGTTATAGTATACCTAGCCAGAGGTAAAAAAAAAAAAAAAAAATAATTATTTGGTGTTTATATTACAAATTATTATTTGAAAATAGAATTTTTACATAAGAGGGAAAGGGTTTCCATCATCGTTTTAAAAATAAAATAAAGAAACAGCCATCTTAAATCAAACAAAGAGCTAAGAAAATATATTTCCTGTTAGAATATTTGCATATGCATTAATAAACCAATGGCAATGTTCTGATTAGCCACTAGGTGGCAGCTAAATACCCCAGTTCATCTAAATAAACTCTCTCTCATTTTTCAAGTTAACAATTATCCTTTAATTTCAAATACTATATTGGTGAAAGAGAAAAGAGAATAATTTTATGTGGTAAAATCTATTGTTAGACATTACATTCTTTTATATATGTTTCCTGGATATTCTACTTACAAAAGCAGGAACTGGAATTTTAGTTTCCTAAAGTTTTAATGGTTATAATAGTATAATTTATAATATTGAAGTATGGCAATAGACAAATAGACAGTTTAAGACAATGGATGAGAAAACAATGATATTACTTCATATGAAGAATAGGGTCTGGTCTTCTTTTTCATCCTTTTATTGACTTCTTTTAAATAGAAGAGCTCCAGCCCTGAAAGTACCTTAACGTACCTTGGCAAAAGTCTATGGGTTGGATTCACCTTGTGGGGCATATGTTTGACACCCGTGGCTAGAGAAAATTTTTATTTGGGCTCAGGAGGATTTCACAACACTGTTATTATTGTTATTTGTATAACAACTGCAAGCTTTTTATAAGCACGCTTACTCAGTAATATCAATTAGTAGGAAATACTGTTTTAATAGTCAATCAAAGCCAGTTTAATATTTTTGCCTTCAAAGCTGCACTCAAGGTTAAGAATATTTTTATTAACTGTAATTACTATGTTACAACTACTACCTAACATTTAAATTCAAGAGTAAATCCCAACTGTAGAAAACTGAAGCTGTCTTAGCCAAAATGAGAAACTATATTAAAATGAGACGCTAATAATACACTATTGTCATTGCTTAGCTCATGTTTTATGAAAAAGAAATGTTAGCTACAAAAGTAAAAAACACTGCTATTATTTACTTTCTTACTAAATATTTTAGCTAATCAACAACTGATGTGATTTTGGTGAGTGTGTATCCATTTAATATTAACACTTTGCACCTGTAGTTTGTAAACTGGTTAAAGCTGGGCCAGGTAAATATGTTCGTGCAGATATTATACTGGAAGAAGCGATTATATATTATTAGAAATATTATACTAGAAGAAGCAATTAGTCTCCTTTTGTTTATATGATGGAACCTGAACATGCATTCAATACATATTTATGAAGAAAGAAAGAGCCTTATCAGTAATTTGTTTCAATTAAGTAAGAAATAATTGCTTCAGCACATTGTAAGTGTGATGATACTAGTGGCTAAATGGTGACATTGCTCTTGTTATGGCTATACTGACTACTTTTTTAAGGACAAATTAGATGAAAAGAAAATTATTTTGGCTATTGAAGCCATTTTTGCAACTGTCTTCATCTTGAAAGATCAGTGATATTTGCTGCCAAAATGAGCAGTTAACAAAAGGCAGGAAAGACATAACATGATTTTCTCTTTTCATTCTAAATCTCGGGAATGTTTTTGGGTGCTATTAAAATGCAAAGGAAAAAAACTGTAAGAGCTCTGACTACTGCTCATGGTAGTTGCACAAATGTTTGCATCAATTCAAGAAACTTGCTGGAAATTAATATTGAGTTCCTTGACTTCTGCTCTTCCATGGAACGGGCATATATATATTTAATCAATAATACAATTAGGCAGTGAGAAGAAAATAAAATGAGTGATGTGGTCACTTTGGTAGTAGATTGAATTATGAACTCTTTGTACATACTGAGTTGCACTTAATTTCTACAGTATACCCAGTAAATTAGTGGGATCTCTTGTAGAACTATCACATCCTGGCTTAGGATCTCCATTTACTGAATTAAAAGATATTGAAATGAGCTATAGAGAAGTGTGCTGCATGCAGAAAGCAAAATAGTGCAGGATGAAAAAGACACCTAAGGGTTATACTTGATTTTTGTCTTGATTTTTGTAACATTTAAGACAAACATAAAATACTATGTATTTGCAAAAATGATTTATTAAGCAGACCATGTTCCAGTTACCTTGCTACATACTACCCATTTGCCATTAGTAAATATAGTTAAAACTTACAGCCAAACATCTTCTAATGGTTGTGAAACTATTAGCACCATGTCATAAATGGTTTTTATGGTTTGAGCCCCAGCAAGGAATAAGTTCTTGTCACATATCCATTAGTTGTTTTTTTTAACTCCCACTGAATTAAAATCCAAATCATGCAGTAGATTCAACATCACCTTATGTATAAACCCTAACATTATTAATATTCATCAATTACAGATCTAGAAATCTAATTAAAATGACTAATACAGGGAGTAAAATCATATTATGATAAAACAGAATTAAATGCCAATTGAATTATTATAAACTCCACAGTGAAAGCTTTTTAAACTTATATCTAAACTTACACTTTAAAATTCAATTGCAAATCAAACAATGTTGACAATGGTACACATATGTAAAGAAACAATAATAGAAAAAGTGTATAACTTCACATGGTCATTATTTTCTAAAAAGATATGTGAATTTTTCTCAGTGCTTTTATTAAAAACTAAGATTATTTCTAAACTTGAAAACAAATCACACAGGTGTAGGAAAGCAGCTGTAGAATTGCATAATACCACTATCTAACAAGGTTCACACTTGCTTATTTCTCAGTCCCAACTGTTATTTCAAAATTATTTGAAGTTTCTACCACAATAAAGTCTTCTTTTCTGGTGCCAGTGAACTGGGGGAAATCCATAGAGGACAAGGAGGTTTACACATGTACTCAAATGGCAGAGCTCTAAAGCCAATTTGCAGGCTCGGTTGCCTAAACTTTAGGCAACCAATTTTTCTACCCCCCTGCCATCCATAATACTGACATTAACCTCCTAGATCAGTCTGCTTCAGTAGTCTTTAAAAACATATATGATTAAAGAGCTGTTGATAGGCTACCTGTAGTTCTTTGGTGATTCTAAAATTAAGTTAATTAAAATAAATATAGAATTAAAATTCTTACCCTGGATCCTCGATGCAGTCTGTCTTTCATGACACCAATAAATTCTTTATAACTCAACTGGTCATCTCTGTCCACATCAAAAATCTTGAAAACTGTGTTCACCAAATGTGGTGAAAGCTTCAGGCCTGTAGCTACATACACAGCACGCTTGAATTCATCTACATAACCAAAACAGCAATAAAAAGTGAAACACAGACATCACTATGTCCTTTAACTTCTGAGTATACTGTATAAAAATGTGCATGTTGTGATATACAGCACTTCAGTATAAACATTTCTAGTGGACAACATGTAATAAAATGCAAGATATAATACCATTTTAACTTAAATTTACCCATTTTAGTATTCAATAAATAAGAAAACGTGAAAGGGTTAAATTTCACAGATGTAAACATGGCTTTAGTTATACGATCACTAATTATTTTAGTTACACATATAAGTCAAAGGTTGTATAGAAAAAAATGTGGCCAAATTCTCTGCTGGAGAGACAGATGCAGCCTCACTGAAATCAATGAACTTATCAGAAAAAATGGTTCACAGGTTACAATATACAAACTTTATTGTATGTAGTGACAGAGTTAGAAAGCTGTGTCATAATCAAAGTCTGAGTCCTCCACACTTACCTTGTCACACAATCTTATACTTAAGCAGCATTCCCCCTCCAAATTCTTTTCTTGATCCATTACTTAAGAGAGACAGTGGGACCAAAGAGCCCCATTTCTACATATTTGTTGGCTATGTCTGAGCTAAAGGGGACACTACTGAGTGTCTGAAATTATTTTTCAGTCATTATCCAGTTTTTCAATTTTAGGAAGCAGAATCTCCTCCTCAAAGTCTTACATGTTATAATGCACACTTTGGAACACACAATGGAAAACTGCATTCCATAGTGATTTTACCATGGAACTGAAAAATCTATGGTAACACCTTGAAAATTTTAAGTATTCCAAATATAATGTTCAATTATGAATCCATGTATACTTTTCCTTTTATTTAAACAAACAAACTTCAAGTTTATCATGAAGATGATTTGACAACACTGTTCATGGCAGGAGGAGGGAGATGTGTATGAGACCTTTTGTGAATAAAGCAATAGGTAAAAATAATTAATTTTAACAGTAAAAAAAATGAAATTAATAAATTCTGATACATAGCTATTTTTCTAGTTTTAAAAGAGCAGGAATATTTACATGACTTTGTATTGGCTACATCTACTTAAGAGACAATGTCTACTTCAAATATATTTCTTAACAGATAGTGGTATAAAAGGCAACATTCTTCTGATAAACTGCAGAAGTATCTTTATTTCCAAGTATCAAGAAAAAATCTCATTGATACTAGAATAGTAGTATAACTGTAATAGCTAGTTATGATGAAATTTTGCCTGGAAAAGTGAAGATCTGCAAATAAAAAACAAAGTTGCTTCTAACTAAAAAAAGAAATAGTTCTATGAAATTATAAATACTCACCTTGTCCTATGGAACGATTTGCAAAATTATACATTTGCATTGCAATAGCAAAATCTTCTAGATTGTTCAAAAACTGGAAAAATGATCTGAACTCATCAAATGTGATGCCCTATTAAATAAAAAAAGCCAATGTGAATTAGTACTGTTAGAATACTCAGTAGAAATGACAAGTGAACATCAGTTAGATCATTTATTTGGTAACAATATTATCTCATCTCTTCCCATCCATCTGCTGTTTGTTGTCACTTTTTTCTATAGATTGTAAGCTTTGGAAAAGGAATTATCTTTTTATTCTGTGTTTGTACAGCACTTAACTCAGTGGGGCCCTACTCCATCACTAGGTAGCCTATGTATTATTAGATATAATAATAATAATTTTAATTTGCTTGTGGGTAAGACTAGAATAGATATGTAAGCCAGGGAACTTCTTTGCTTTGGCTTATTTCATGTCAACATACTTATCTACTACAGAATCTGTTGGGACTCAAATTTTGAAACAGCAGAAGTTCATTCTGCAGACTGCAGCAGATCTATCAAATACAAGAGATGCTTGCTTATTTAGTGATGTGAGAGAAAAACTTTTGATTAATTCTTGCATCTTTTTCCTGGTTTTCCTCTTATTTTCTCTACAGAAGGTGAGGTAATCTATAATTGAAGCACATCTCATTTGCATTCCATAATGCCCCTTCTTCCTAAGAATAAAGTCCCTGACTTTGCCTCACCATGAGAACTGATGCTAAATTATTACACTAGACATAGGTAGGACATTCACATGGTAGAGACTTGCAAATGTAGGCAGTCTCTGTAAAACTTGTCATGTAGTCAGAAACCTAAGTTCTAATTTTGGCTAAGTTTTCCTGTGTACATCTTGCACAAATCACATAAATTCTTAGTGTATTTGTTTCCAGCAAGGATGTGGTCTGGCCCAATTCTTTAAAAATATGATGTGTTTCGTATTCTAATTGCTCCTTCTGCTTAGATCCTTAGCAGACTATGTTGATAATAAGACAGATATCAAGCGTCTTTCCTGGCTCCCACTAAAAGTAAACTAGTGAACAAAAAAACACCTAAGGAAAAAAAACACAATAAAAAGCACAAGGTTCATCCAGAGATTAAAATGGAGTGTTTACTTACTTCCTAATTTACTCCTCCACTAAGAGGAGCCAAAGCTAACAAATATAAAAGCAAATCCCAAAACAATGGAGGCTGAGTTGCCAAGTTGAAAGCTTTTCTCCAGTCATATCAGCATGCAGTCATTATATAAACTAAATTATTATCACTTCAGTTATTTGAGCAACCATAGAATTGCTCAAAGCTGCAAAAATGTATGCCCCCTATAAATTTCAGCCTTTGTGACAAGAGGGATGCATTTTGCTTTTTTATTTTCTAAAACTTTCTTATGAAAATGTTCTACTGAATGGATCAGTCTCCTAAAGAGAGATAATCTAAGTCATTAAGGGCACTGATACTTCAGATGGATCAAGCACCAATGGCAAAACTCAATAAAATTAGTCTGGCTATTGGGCATGTTCCCCAGTGGTATATTTTTTAGGGTTTCTTTAAGTCTGTGTTTTTACTTGACAAATACAATATATTTTTCTATCATTTTAAAATCAAATTAAAATAATGCATCTATGACACAATATGCTGCTGAATTACTAGTAATAAGATTTCATTACAAATGTGTACCATTATCCTTAACCTCATCATCACTATAACTAAAAATGCTTACAGATGTAGTAAACAAATACTCTGAAGGTTTTGTTGATTTTTAAATCTCAGCATTTCTAATGAAGTTCTAGCTAGTTGTACAGTCTGAATGACCTGTCTAAAATGGTCTCAATGTGGAGAGTGAATGAATGTCAAGGTATCCCAATTACTTTACCTTTTATGTATTGTTAGCTGGGAGGGAGTTTCATCTAGATGGGGGCTTGCCAGGTACAGCAAAGGTTTGACACACTGGCCTGTACATAATATATTTTGAGCTTCAGCTTTCTGAAATGCTATGAAAATTAATGGCTTCTTTGAGTTGATATTAGAGGTAAGGTGTTTTTGTTAAGTAGACAAAAGCAACTGTAAGCAGAATCTAAGTATAAACTACATGTACTTTACAACCTTTGACTTAGTGACAAATAACACAAATAAGTGGCCTGATTCCTTTGCCACACAAATCTAACTGAAATCAACTGCATTCCTAGATGTTTAGTACCTCCCAAGTTCAGACCTGTAACTTTAGACAGAGAGAGAGAGAGAGAGAGAGAGAGAGAGAGAAGATGCACAATTAAAAAAACTAAAAGGCAGAGACACAGCAGGGCAGCTCTGCAGCCCTGGATAGCCATGCCACAGGGCAGTGCCAGCAGCCACAGTGCCAATGGTGGCAGCCGCTATTTTTGCAACCCCTTCCCCTCCCCACAAGTGGTGCCCAGGACTGTTAACAGGAGATGGGCATGCAGAGTTGGATGACAACTTCCCATCTCTAGAATAACTTTTGTAAAACCAAACAATTCTAACAGAATACTCAACCTTATATTGCGTATGTTTTGATAAATTAAAGGATGTAAATGCATTTCCCAGATTCCTAGTGGAAACCATATATTTTCCAGGTAAAAGTGAAGGAAAACTTCTAGTTCATTGGGCAGATTATATTTTTAGCAAAACAAAGTGAACTGTGAAATGAATACAGCAGTGCTGTTGAAAAAGATGATCTTACTGTAGGAGCCGATATTTGTAGTAATTCAAGCTGCCAGTCTAAATGAATCACTACTTGGCACCTAGCAAAAGGAGGAGAACATCTTGTAAGCAGGCAGCATGCCAGCTAAACACTTCAACATGAATATAGTCAGCCAAATGATCAGCACATTTTTATGGGCCTCTGCATAAAGAAAGCCACAAAAAGAGTAACAGTGCCAACTGTGAGAATAGCAGCTTACTATTGTGCATTCTAGAGCAACATCTTTGAAAGTTATCAGTCATGTCTTTGTATTGGAGAATATAAGAATTAAATGTTTTGCAACAATAAGGATGTAGTATCATGCTAATTATATTATTAGTCAGAAGGGGTCAAATCAAGTGTGCTTAAATGAACTGGATAAGCCACTGTTTTAGGAGCATTAGCCCCCTTTTCAAAAGCTGATGAAGGTCTGAGAGTTCTGTTTCTAAGGGGTTACTTTCTCTAGGGGCTTATTGACCATATCAGTAGTGTATGGGTGTAGAAATGGACAGCTTTAATTTAATTTAATGCCTAGAATAAAGGACGACATACCAAGGGATATGTGGGCAAGTTCCTATTTAGATGAGAGATCACCAACCAAAGAAAACGTTTAGGGGCCGCATGTAGTCTGGGAAGAGAATGTCCTTGGTTGATGATTTTGTTACACAAGCAAAGTTCCCCAAACTGTGAAGCAAACACTTTTGGCAGGGCTTTTAGAAATACTAAATATAAAAGTCCCTAGGAGCACAGCATCATGTGTAAACTGCATAAATGCTACACTGAACATGGTGGCTGAAACAGAGGGGTGTGAGGATGGTCAACTTTACTGCAGCTGAGCATAAAAAACCCAGGCAAAGAAAGGAGTGAAGCTTACATGTTAAAGATTTTTCCCACTCATTACAGTAGTGTTAAAGGATTAAGACACAGAACTTGAAGAAGCACTTCATGTATTTAAGATATTGAATTAAACTAAACTAACTTCACCTTAGCCAGTCAAATACATGCATCTTTACACTTCTTACTATATGCCTTTTTTAACCTGTGTGCCATGTATATAGTATTGTAGTAATTAAATAAACTTTTGTTTTCCTAAGGAACCTTTTTCCAAGCATATAAGACTTGATTTCAGAAACAGCAAAACATATCTGGCTCCATACAGTAAGAAAACTAGACAATACTGAAGTAAAATCCATTTCTATGGAATTCAATATAGATTCCATATGAATATTTCTGGCTTCTATTCAAAACTGTGCCTATTGACAGCTAGTTCGTATCTTGAAAAAGGGTTAGTGAGTACCACCACTCTCCCAGAAACAGAACAAAGAACAACCTGTCTCAGTCACAATTCCTTCTCTGTTTTCCCTGGCTCTGAGGAGCGAATGGTTTACTTCAGTCTGTACAGGGAACCCATCAGCTTCTCTGTCCAGAAAGCACGTAAATGGATTAAGTTCAGGAATCTC